TCCAGAAGGATGCTGCAGACTGTATCTCTCACTGACCCACTCTGGTTCTCACTGACACCACCGTAGCCCATGATAAATCTGTTCATTTTTTAAATAATCCAGTTTACAGGTGGATTAAAATATTTTAAATTAACTTTTCAAAATAGGTCATATGTTTTAAATACTAAAAACCAAGATACAAATAAGGAATTTCAAATTTCCTAGTTTTGTAAAATGCCTTCATTCATTCTACTGAGAATGTTCATTCTTTCAAAGACCGCTCACTTTTATGTGTGATTTTAAGCGTCTGTCCTGAATGAAGAACATAAGAGGGCTAAATTTGAATTTGGCTTCATCTTTTTCATTACTTATAAGTTTACACCAGATGGGCCTGTCGTTTGGTTGTGGTTATTTTCTTTTTCTTTGTAATTTTTACCTCTTTATAGATTCCAGTGCATTCATAGTAATCTCTAGAAGGGAGGCCAAGTCGAGGCTGGTCAACCTGTAAAAGAAAATAAATCATTCAGCAAGTATAGAAAAGTTAGAAAATTACAAGCATGCCTATTTATGTATGTGAAAGATCCTAGTCTGCTGTTTATATGGGGTAACTATCAGACACTGAGTAAGTACAAAATTAGGAAATGGTTTCTACACTACTTATAAGTGTTATACTAATGGGCGGTTAATCTGGAGGAGGACTGTGCTGCAGATATTCAAGGAAAACCAAAGAAAATGAACAAACGATTTACTGGGAGAGATTTTTAATGCAGAACAGAAGGCGCAAGTGAACAAAAACATGTCAGATTCTAGGACGTGGGAATTTCTAAATAACATATTCACAGGACTTCCCAGCTTCCTGAGATTCTAATGTGCTCCCCTGGGAACATTCTCATCTGCTTTCACCCTGAGTTGGGATCCACTCTCATTGGTGGGAGCAGGTCAATATTCTTCAAGTTGATTTGGATGGATGGGGAGAAGGGGAGGAGAAGTGGAAAACCTCTATGGTAACTCCAGAACCTTTCCACTAATCCAACTCTTGCCAGAAAATGTTTAAGATTCTCTACCCTAAGGGAATGGAGGCACCTTCTCCTTGGTTCTCCCCAAAGCTGCTCTACTCAGAAGAACTTCAGCAGACCCAGATAGCAGTTAAGTGTGTAAAAGATGAAACTCAGTTCTGTGCTAATGTGTCTGGTCCATCTTTAATACCCAAGTGAGAGCTGCCTGGGCATACTTGCAGCTTTGTGAGATTGTTTCCTACTCACTGCATGGCAACTTAAGTGTGGAGGCCAAACAGAGCATTTCTGGGTTAAAGAGAGAATCCTAGCAGCAGTGGAGAGCCTAGGCCAATACAAAAGAAACATTACCCAAATAACTAGGATGGAAAGGGCCAGAAGATATCTCTATATGAAGAGCCCTGATCCTTCCTTACCTCCTGACCCTCAAGGTGATCCTGCAAGGAGAAAGTTTCAGAAGAGAGAGAGTCCACTGAAGGAGATTTTGGTTCAGTTTCTTTAAAAATTTTATATAAAAATTACCATAAAGATTTATGCAGTAGGGACACAGGTATGATTTGGTAACCTGCAACTTTTGGTATCATTTCTTTTACAGGAAAGAAGAAAGAAAGAAAGAGAGAGAGAGAAGAGAGGTAAAGGGAGAAAGAGAGAAAGAAAGAAAGAAAGAAAGAGAAAGAAAGAAAGAAAGAAAGAAAGAAAGAAAGAAAGAAAGAAAGAAAGAAAGAAAGAAAGAGAGAGGAAGGAAGGAAGGAAGGAAGGAAGGAAGGAAGGAAGGAAGGAAGGAAGGAAGGAAGGAAAGACTCATTAAAATTTTCAGTATATTCCAAACATTTTCATTAATCTAATCTTAGGTGACATCTAAATCAAATTGTTTATATTTTTAAAAATAAAATAAATTCATTTCAAAAGAAAGGCATTTTGTTTCTCCTTAATTGAGAAAAAAGTACAGATATTCTTTAGTGAGAAAAAAATTATGTTATTTTTCTATGTTATTTCTATATAATCCCTTTTCTATGTTATTTTTGAAAGCAATTATTGTTTTTTGGTTTCCAGACCTGCATTACTTCTATACACCAAAGTATACTCCTTTCAGGTAATATACAAAGAAATCAGGGACTTTTTCTGAATAGGAGGGGCCTGGAGCCCTTCTTAACATTTGTTTTGTGAAGGGAGAGTATCTAAAATAGAGGTAGCAGAAGCAAGAGGTGAATGTCTAAAACACAACATTAAGAAAATACTTTCAAAATTGGGACTCCAGGTATTCGGGACAGAGCATGAATACGCCACCTCCTTGCTTACTCAATTCAAGTGAAAACAGCATTATTTCTAAGTATCAATAACAACAATGTGTGTGGAAGTTTTATTACAATTTAAAGATAACTTTAGCTATTTGCCACACAAACTTACATGAATTACGTGATTCACAGAATTCTTATCATCAGTGCCAACAAACAAATTAAAAAGGACTTTTTTCCCATATTTAGAATTCAGTTGTGCAATAGCTTTTTCAGCTGTCCAAGAAGCACCTAAAGCAAAAAAAAAATAAAATACATCTTTAGAAGCTTTAGTTCATTAATGATATTATAATAACATAAATTTTACATGGATTTTTTTTTTTTTTAAGTAGGAAAATTGCCTTACCATATTTTTGCTCCCAGTTTTCTGTTGCTACTGGCCACCCATATATGTCTGGTAACAGTTTGAGCAGAGGTCCTCCACCTCTGCTATCAATAGCAGCTTTTGAAAACAATAAACATAAATTCAATTAGAAGTCTAGGCATAGTTTGGCACCAATATATGCATACTCCTAATGAAGTCAAATGAAGAGCACTTACATTCATTTATACAAGACCTGTACAATGTTTTTGCTTTCTGCACTGCTACTATATCTTCAGTTTTGGGTTCTTGAAGGACATCTGAAATAGGACGTTTAATAAAATACATCAACATAATTGCTCATTTGCACTATGCACACATAATTGCTCATTTGCAGTAATTAACATTTGCAAGATGGGTTCAGTGAAGATACTTTGCTGTTCTGGAGGTACATTCATTCCCTCCCCCCAGTTCCAAAACCTTATAGGAAAAACCAAACCCCTTACCAGATTATCATTCCTAGCACAGAACTGGGAGTCAGTTTAATCAGCCAACTTAGATGAAAGTCCTTTTGACTAGATTATCTTTTTTTTTTTTTTTTTTTTATGAACAGTGATGCATACTGCTCTACCATAGGTAACAGTTACTTTTCTTGAAATTGAGATTAAAAAGAAAACAATAATACAGGGAATTTGGAATTTAGTATGAATAGTCCTTTTGATAGCTCGAAAATAATTATCTGTGTGATTGTACTTTTAATGCTCCAAATGAATGAATTGAATTGTCTTACTTGTTTGGATGTTAAAAAGTAGTTAAAATTGGTTTTCTTCAAAACAACTTCTAGAAGAGGGGAGAACAGGGAACAGAGGACAGGAGCGACTTGTCTAGACTTTGCTAACTTCCCAGGGAGAGCGTCTCAGCCAGGTTAGAATACGCCTACGCTGGGAAGGTAAATCTTAGTAACATCTTACAGTGACTTTAACACAGGGCTTGGGTAGGGAGACTACAGAAGTAGGTTTTTGTGGCAATCATTTAAACTTTTTTATTCTGTAGAATGGCATAAAACTATCATCTTGGTTGGGCATGGTGGCTCACACCTGTAACTCCACACTTTGAGAGGCTGAGGTGGGTGGATCACCTGAGATCAGGAGTTCGAGACTAGCCTGGCCAACATGGTAAAACACCATCTCTAGTAAAAATAAAAAAATTAGCTGGGCATGGTAGTGGGTGCTATAATCCCAGCTACTTGAGAGGCTGAGGCAGGAGAATCACTTGAACCTGGGAGGTGGAGGTTGCAATGAGCTGAGATAGCACCATTGCACCCCAGCCTGGGTGATGAGAGCGAAACCCCATCTCAAAACGAAACAAAGCAAAATAAAAACAAAAACCTGCCATTTCTAGGGATGATACAGCTTTGTCATTTGCATACCTACAAATGAAAGCAGGAATGCTAAGAGATGTCAACATATTAATTTTGGTGTCTGCCATTATCAGGGTGACTCAGTAGTGGTACACAAATCCTGGAAGGATTATTAACGTTTTACTCTTTCGTGACATTCCTTGTAATGGCTAACAACTGTATATTTAAAAAAAGAATATATTAAGAGAGAAGTCTTTGATGCACAGATACTATCTCTACCAACCTTTCAAAACGACTTCTAGTTCATCTCTTAAAATGTCAAAGTTGCCATAACGGGAGCTGGTCTCAGGAATGACATTGCGTTTCAACCAGCCTCCGCAGGCATATTTGAAAAAGTCTGTACAAGGCTCAGCGGTGGCATCCATGTTTTGGATCAGTCGAGCAGCTGCAAGAACAGAGAAAAGACTAGATAAAATGATGGGTGTATTTCTTATGTAGCTTAAAAGGACAAAAAGGCATGTTGCTCCCTTTTGATTGTTACCAATTTGTCAGAAGCTCCGTTTTCTTTCTTATGTAACAGTCAATTCAGATGGATGAGGAACACTATCTGTGTATAGTTCTCTTTTCCTTTACTATAGTTGGTTCATTTTATTTTGAACTGTGTGAATCCCTCCACCCTGGGTCCGCAGCCTTCCCAACCCACCACCGAATAAGTTTCTGGCTAGTTCCTATTTCAGAAGAACAAAGAATAGAGGTCTACTTTGAGTTGGCCATCTTGGGCCTGAGGTTAGCATGTCATTCTTCACTCTGATAACATTAGTTGCCAACTCTGCTCTTCAAAGTGCTCTGACTTTTGAATGTCTCTGAGACTCCAAGCCATGAAAGATTGTTAATGAATTTTTATCATTTTAGAAAGGATCTGAAGCTGCAGTTATTACTTCCTGGACCTTGCTCAAATAAATTTTGTAATTCAAATTTGACATCTAATTTGCATTTGTTTATATAGAGTCTGTCATTATAAAACTGGCTGTAAGCTTATTACTTTTTCTCAGGTCCACTTTTTTCTTTGACGACTATGATGAAAATGCAAATCAACCAAGACTGAGTATTTATAATCAAGACGCTGACTCTGCTAAGAGCTGCAATTGATAGAAAGATGTATAAAATAGGAACTATTTCCATTGAAGAGGAGAATATGGCCCAATGCCCATAACGTCTACACCTGGAATTGAGAAAATTCTGCTACTGTCCTCCCCACTTTCCATCTCATACAAGTTGAACTGTTTTGCAATGAAAACAAAAGAGCAATTGAGAATTCGTCTGTATCAAGAGAATGTAAGTTCCCAGATGAGCTTCTGAAAACACCTCACTTTCTGAATTAATTAATTAAAAACTTCAAACAATTTCTGAGCTGTATAGATTTTTTAAACTTGGTACAATAAATAGGTTTTCCAGCTGAGCCTCAAGCCCCTACTTTGAACCACCTTTTGGGCATGTTTGCTTGTCTGCCACCTCAGGACCCAGCTCTTTAATACAAAACTCTCAGGATTGTTTCCAGACCAGTCTTCTCATGATTTTTATGCTTTAGTATACAGCACAATTGTTATCATAGCCTCCTGGGTTTGAAACCTTGGGCAAAACGATTTCTCTTTCCCTTTGGTTTATTGGTAATTCCTGTGCCTCTTTTCCAAACCTCTTATTCTGATTGGTACCTGGTTTACATCTTCATTCCTTTTTGACTAGAAGTTACCCACTTCTTCATCGTGATATATTCTACATATCTTTCATAGACGAAACTTCGCAAAAGACTCTTTGACACTGGCCACAACCTTGCTGAAAAATATCAGTGGCTTGACATTTTCCCAGGTTAAATTACAAACTCTTGGCCAGGCACAGTGGCTCACGCCTGCAATTCCAGCACTTTGGGAGTCTGAGACCAGCCTGGCCAACAGGTGGTGAAACCCCAACTCTACTAAAAATACAAAAATTAGCTGGCCATAGTGGCAGGCACCTGTTGTCCCAGCTACTTGAGAGGCTGAAGCAGGAGAATCGCTTGAACTCAGGAGGCGGAGGTTGCAGTGAGCCAAGATCGCACCACTGCACTTCAGCCTGGGTGACAGAGAATCTGTCTCAAATATAAAAATAAAAATAAAATCTTTAACTTGGTTGCTAAACCATTACCAGAATAAATGTATGTCTCTACCTTCCCCTTTTCCCCTTTTGGTGTTTTATGCAAACTCTATTCCAACCAGATGGGCCTCTTGTGTTTTCTTCCTTGTGTTTTCTTAGTCCTGTGCCTTCACTTTAATCCTCCTCATCCCACAGTTTTGATTACTCCTGCCATTCTTTACAAATTCTACCCATCATTCAATGTTCAGCTCATGTTCCATCTCTTCCCTGATGCTTCTGTGACTCCAAACTTCAAGGAATATTTCATTCTCCCAACTCCTGAGAGCTCATTGCCTCACTATGTTCAATGTTTGGATGAGACTACTTTGAGTTTTTCATTGTGAATACATACCCTTTGTATCTAGCTATTTTGTTGATGTGATTAATCTCTGTATTCCCATCACCTAGCACCTGGGTAGTAGGGGTGCAATTATGTTTATGTGTGACTGAATCATTTATGAGTCTTCTTACCACCTTCTCTTACAGCCCATCACTCTCCTCCCCACCCCTCCTCACAGAGGTCAAATCAGTTCTCAGTTCATTGCCTCCAGAATCCATTCTACCCTTCCCATTGTTTCCATTCTGTCTCAAGCCCTCTTTCTCTCAGACTCTATTTGTGCCCTTTTGACCAAGTTGTGGCTCCAGGCCTCTTTTTACCCAGGTCCATTCTGCACTCCGCAGGCACATTAATGTTCTCAAAATACTTCAGAATATCATTTTCTACTCCAAAGTTTTCAATACCATCCTTTTGCATTCATAATAAAATGCAGATTCCATAGCACATTTGAACACTAATAGAACTAATGAAGCTTCTCCTTTGCTACTTTCTCATATGAGCCATCTGCCACAGTTAAGTGAGTATATTCAGTTTCTATGAGACACCTTGTGGTTTTCTGCCTCTGTAACTTTGACCGTGTTACCCGGCCCCAACAAGTACTCATAAATATTCTTTCATATTATTTCATGTTTTGAAATTTCAGGCATTTTCAAAGCCCAATCCAAATACTCCTTCTTTATGAAAGACTGGCCTGACAAAAGTCTGTATCAGCTTACGACATATTCAATTTTTGCATGCAAACTCATTATCTCCTCACCTGGACTATGGCTCCGTGAAAATAGAAAATGCATTTTCTCTCTCACAGAGCCTAACACTGTACTCACTCAAGACTTGCCAGTAAAAACCCCAACTTTAACACCTCAGTTAAAGACTAGAAAACTGATTTAAAAAAGGTAGAGGGAAAAAGCAATTCCCTTGAACTTCTTTTTTTGAGACAGAGTCTTGCTTTATTGCCCAGGCTGGAGTGCGGTGGCAGAATCTCGGCTCGATGCAACCTGGACCTGCTGGGTTCAAGCGATTCTCGTGCCTTAGCCTCCTGAGCAGCTGAGGCTACAAGCCCACACCACCATGCCCAGCTAATTTTTTGTATTTTTAGTAGAGATGGGGTTTCACCCGTAATGGGGAGGGTGAAAACAAAGATCCTAAATACATAGGATTATTACATAAAGTAAAAAACCAGAAAACTAGAGCCTGAAAGAAGTGCTAACTACAGACATTCTAAGAACACACTCAGCAGCACATAACTCTTCTCTTTTAAGATACTTAAAAACATTTAAACTGAATGTTGTGAAGGCTGTGCCATTTGGCGGGGGACCTCTGTTTTCTTCCCCTTTCTGGGGAGATAATGGCTTCTGTCACAACACCACAGAGCAATAAAGTCGACTCATAAAAGTAATGAACAAGTAATGAACAAGCAGAAGGAACAAGAATAGTCATGAACAAGTCCTCCTGCCTATTTGGAAATGCCACTTGTCCTTAAACAGGGAACACAAAGGATGGCTAGTGGTTGCAGTTCTCTGATCACGAGTGCAAATTCTCTGTCCTGCAAATGCAACTGTACTTCCCCCATCTTCCAGGAGACAAAACATTTAGCTTTCCCTCTTCTAGGTTGCATTTCCTCATCAAATACCCAGTACAGTTAAACTACTTGCATCTGCACAACAAATCAAAGAAACAGTATTCAGTTTGTGAGGGTTTTGCAGAGCAAAGAAAGGAAGAGGCAACTTTGTTAACTCCTTCCAGGGCCACTATTTAAATTTCCCTTTGACCAGAGAGCTTGTCTAAGCATGGATGCATCCACTCACTTCAAAGGGAGCTCTCTGTTCTGATGAACATTTTGGGGCCATGGGCCAAGGCAAGTCATAGGCTAGCACTCTTATGCTGGGTCTTTGATCAACCTTCCTTTAATCTCTTATCGTAGGTTTGATTCTCGTTTTGCACCTTATCCTCCGGACCTCCTCTGTGCTGATTTTTCTTTGAAGTCAGCGTAGACTTGTGGGTAGAAGGCCGTAGGAAACAGACGTGCAACTGTCAAACTGGTTGTAATTGTTTTTATGTTTTGTGCTTTGTTTTGAATTACTCAACCTCTCCACACAGCCAACCTGGGCTCTTCAGATGTTTCCTTATCTGTGGGTCTCTGACATCTGAGTAAACAAATGTGGTTTAAAATCAGACAAAATTGTTCACCTTAATAAGTAAATATAAAACAAATAATGTAGTAAAGTCAAATGTATTGACATGGAATGTTGCTGACCAGATGTTGTAAAGTGAAAGATTTTATACAGATTAAAAATCTGTATAAAAGCAAAGAAAATCTAGAAGGATATATACTAACATATTCACAGCAGTCATATCTGGGAGGAGGGATTATGAGTGCGTTTAATTTTGTATTATTTGCTTATCTTTATTTTCCAATTTGTATTAGATGTACATGCATTGCTTTTGCAATGAGGGAAAAAAGTTTATTTTTAATTTAAGAAAATGGTCACATAAAGACAAGAAAAGTAATCTTCTATTAATAATGAGCTTATTTCTTACAAATGACAATTCTGAATGTTTCGAGCTGATAATAAATGACACTATTTTCTTTCTAACTAATCTTCTTGTAACATTCTCCCAACTTATTTGACTATAGGAATTTAAAAACAAGTTCAACTACCATCTGGGAAATTATTAATTACTGCATTCCTCACTGAAAGGTGTATTGTGTGCACATGGATTGGAAGATGTTGTATACATACTGGGAAAATGTTTGGGCTCTTAAGCCAGACAGACCTGTTTTGAGTCCCAGAGTTCCACCACTTTTTAGTTGTACAAGATTAAGTAATTTTCCCAAGATCAAACAGCTAGTAAATTATGGGGCCCCAGGACTTGCACTTAAGCATATATGGCTCTGAGCCCACACCCTTCCCTCCCTGCTTTGGATGCAGAAGGCTGGTAGGGGGCATGAGAGAAGCAGCGACTTGCACAGCCCTCTTTTCTTCTCCTTCCCAAGTACGCTTTTAGTCTTTCTTTGCCTTGCCTTTTTTTACTTTCTCTCCTTCCTGCCACTCTGAAGCCACAGCCGCCCTCCTTCCCTACTGTTGAACTTATCACCAGCAATCTGTGCTGGGACAAAGGCAGGACAAAGTACAGCATCAAGACTTGGAGAGTCCACAGATGAATTCTTCACAGTGGAGCAAGCAGACAGGAAGCAGCATGGAGGCCACTCTAGGTGGCTGCACTCAAAGGCCCATGCAGGGGTGCATCTTTTTGAAGTGGACATGTACCAGGATCTTGCCTAAGTTGTCTTTGGAGCACACTGGAAAATGGAGCGTGAAAAATCTCAGCAATATGTTTTAGGGCAGTACTTGTCAACCCTGGCTAAACATGTGAATCAGCTAAGAAGCCTTTTAGACACACAGATGCCCAGGATCTACTCTTGATCAATTCATTCAGAATCGTTGGGGTGGGTACAGACATTTTTTAAAGTTTTCTAGAGTGGGTCTAATGTGCAGTCAGGGTCAACCACCACATTAGACAATAGAGAAACATGGAAATGAGGACCAACAGATCCAGTATCAGAAAAGTATAGTCCCATACTTTCTTGAAGTAGGAATATTTCCTTTTGCCTTTTTCAGGCTGTAAATGCAAATGGGCTCACATCATGGCAACCTATGTTTTGCAGTGACTTCAGCCTACTTGGCTGGCAAAGTGTTGCAGGGAACCTCACATGTGTCTCATGCACAAGCCCACGACCCCAAGGCTTCCTTCCACTCTGCTCCACTGACTTTAGCCTCCACAGCCTCCTACCCAAACCCTGTCCATGATCCAGTCCCTGCTGGGTGCTGAAGCTGGATAATGCAGGGAAAATGCCTCCCTTCCTCATTTTTCACTGTCTCCAGTCTTGAGCAGGGCTCTTGTGCCTACAGGTAAATAGGTCTCTTGAATTTTACCCCCATGGCCTTCTCTCTCAAGAACCACAAGCACCAACAGGCCTGGTTCTGGAAAAATTATAATACCAAAAACTGTACTATATTCAAAATCACTTCTCTCCTCTGATGGCCAAGGAATATTTTTGTTGTTATCTCAGGAGGCTCATAGGCCTCTCAGAAGAAACTTGAGGCATAGCTTTCCATCATTCTGTTAGACACTATTAGACATGGTGAAATTCCAGTTACATGGGACCCCACTACATGTCTCCCTTAAAAAGAAGCAACCTTAAGTATCCCTTTGAATGACCTCCAAGCCACAAGATCTCCCCTTTCTTATCTGCATCCCTTGCTTTCCAACATTACCAACAGTTTGCTAACTGAAAATAAGACTTTGGCACTATACACAGCAACTATTTTGATATTTATGTATGCACAATCCCTGGAAGCTTGTTTTCTGGTGAGGGGGTGAGGGAGGGCTTAAAGAAATCTCTGCATTGTCCAGTGCTCCTGGGGAAATAGTCAATAAACAGGAGAGAGTTGAAATAAATATGATAGTCACAAACAGCAAATGATACACTAGGTAGCATAAAGTTTTGTGCTGTAGTACACTTTTATGGGTTTAATTTTTTTAATGTTAGTCATTACTTAGCAAGTCATTGAGGGTTTCCCATATGAATGATTTCACAGGAATGACAAAACAAGTATGGTTTATTCTCATTATTTGCATGAGTTTTGTTCTATATAAAGTCACTACTATACTGAATTAGTGAATGCTGAATTATTGACCCTAGGGGAAATACAAGGTTAGGTTCCTGTGAGCTTCTGGTCACAGATGATTAATACATACTTTGTTTTATATGTGTTTCTGTTTAAAGACACCTTATTTAATATATTTGTTGATTCACTAACATTTAACTCACACCAACAACAGCACTGTAACTGATGTCTGAACGATGTTTATCTATTGCATGTATTTTCTCTGTAAGGCGTATCACAGCCTTCTTGTGCTTCAAGACACTAGATAGCACTTCCACATTATGGTTGTGGAAGCATTTAAACAGTGAAATAATCAGCAAAAAGCACAAAAATGCAAAAAATGCTGAGTAAATAGACTACAAAAAGCATCCTTGTCTATGGCTCCCTTGTTCAACCTCAGCTGAGTACATGTGTGTAGAAAGACTCAAAGATTTTTCACCAGTCTGTGCATGTCTGTAAATGACTGTGAAAGAGCTGCAAGTAGTGATTTGGGGGTAATAAATACATTTTAGGGAGTAGGTGAATTAGCAAACACAGAATCCAGAAATAATGAGTAATGATTATGCTTATATTCCTTTTTTCTTTGGGGCTTTTTGAAGCATCTAGAAAAATGTACAAAACAGGAAAGAAAATTAAGTGGGAATATGGTACAAATAATTTCTTTCTCAATTGCTACTCTATTTTAAAAACTCTTGGTCACTATAAATTAGCCATGTTTCAAATAGGTTAGGCATCTATTTACGACATACAGACTACATATATACCCCGGTGCCATGACAAAATTCCTCCATTGACTATTCTTAGTCTGCACTGAATTAAGGTTTAGGAAATGGTATATAAACAAAACTGTTTTCAGCTTGTTGAGGTCTGCAAATTGCCTAAGTTCTCAGCTTCCTAACCCCAAACACACAACACCAGTATTGTAACATCATTAGAATTAGCCCGACTTATAATTGTTCTAGAAGTGTCCAAAAGAGGTCAGAGAAATGTTGGGGCACTCAGAAGCAAATGCTCTTTTGTAAAGACCTTAGGACACCCATTCTCACCCAACCTTCTGTTGTAAATGCTTGCTTATTAACAGACACTAAACTTGATGTTACTTTTAGGCAATTTTTGACAATTTAAAAATCTCTTTTGACAACATTCTTCAAGTACAGCTGACCCCATTCCCCTGCTGCCACCCTCCTCCCACCATCCCCCCAACCAAAATTTAGACAAAGTCAGAACTTTTTAAAAGAACACAAGGAAAATGCAATGTAATCACAATGGGTCACAAAGGATTCAATTCAAAAGGCAGCAATGTGAAAACTGGAATCAGGGGGACCATTCTTGAAGAGAAAATGACTGAAAACTAGCAAGCACATAGACTCTAATGCTAATAAAAACCAAATGGCTTTCATTACCAACACTCAGGATACTTCCACAATCTACTCTTCCATTTTTAAAGAAAAATCCCTGCCCCCAAATTGTTTTTGTGATGCCTTGGTTGAAGAAAGATGGAGAGTGGGGGATACCAGATGCTGAGTGTAATCTGGACTGCTAGTTTATCATTTAACTCAAACACTCCCTGTCAACCAGTGGTTATGTTCCAAGAAAGCCAAGGTCATGACTTATACTTATCTAATTGGTGAGTACCAAGAAACCATCCTGTTCAGACTTACATAAGTAGATGTGAAGGAAGTTTCCAAACGTAGTGAATTTACTCTGTACAGCTGCACTCTCAAGTAAGGAGACCTATTTTTGCTGTTCTAGTTTGAGGAGTAATCAGTTTATAACAATATTTCATATATACATGTGACTAATTTACCTTAAATGAATAGGTCTTATACATACAAAACAAATCTGTATATACACACATAGGCACAAGCATATGAATAATCAACCTGGATCCATTTGCTATCAGATAAATTCACTATCATATTTAAATATACAATGTACATTATAGGATTTTCATTTGGGTTTAGCCAAAGATGCTTAAATGTAATAATAATAACAATAAGAAGCCAACACTTAACATACATCAAACACCAAGTGCCTACTTCATGCTAGCAATTTTTAAAATGCTTTCTTTAATATTTGTTTTCTTTAACCCTGTATGGTAACTATATTTTTTCCCCCATTTTACAAGTACAGAAGTTGAGGGTAAGTAATTTGTGCCCAAGTTCACATAGTTGTCAAAGGATATTGCTGTGGTTTTAATTCAAGTAGTGCAATGGCCAGTGTCTGGGCTCTTATACTATGTGAAACTGCCTTGGGTTTTAATCATTTTTCTTCTTAGAACTACTTTATAAAGCAGGACATATTACTTCTATTTTAAGGAAATCTAGTTATGAGGTGGTTACAAACTCAAGGTCACCAATACAAATTTAAGGAGTTCATCTAAAGGTGATCCTAGGTCTAATTTTAAGCTGATGCTTTTTTCACAGTATCATTCTGCCTTAACTCTAAATAACATTTAAAAATTTTCAGAAAGTCTACAGAGAAGGAGAGAGAACCCAAATTAAGTTATAGAGCAACCACTGTTTTTCTTGACACCCAATTAAAATGGTAATTGCTCTATAACATGTATATAGTTATATAATTTTTTTTCACCTCATTTGGCCCTGGATTTTAGAACTTGTTGAGATAATAACAGAAATCTCGTGGCTAATGGATTCACAATAATAATCTTTAGTTGGCACTCCCGAAATTAGTGAAATTCTTCCGTCTTATCTCATAGCCCATTTCAATGAATGGCTCAGAGCCAAGGGAGGACTGGCAATTATTTTCCAGTAGGAATTCCTCCAGAATTCGCAGCAGAAACATATTCTGTTAGTAATAATACAAAAAAGTACTCTGTGTTACAGTTAAGTTAAAGTGCCACAAGTCTAAAAATAATGTTTCTTCTTCAGGTGCAATTTGCATTTTGAATCCTGAAAGACTCTGCTGGCAAAAAGCTATTAGGGATTATACTGTAATTTAAATACAGTATATCACTTAAAATGAATTATCAGATCTGCTGTTGATTATAATGTTAGCAAATGATGATAATGTTCCTTTTTTAAACTAAAGCTATAGAAGGTCATGAAAAGGCTACATTGTTCCCTTGGTAACACTCTTCAGGTAGATCTCAAGTTCCCTGGACCCTGGCAGACAACTCTGAAGAGGGAGCAATGAGGATCCACACCCATGTTCTCCTGTTTAAACATTGTGTTATTTTGGATCATATTGTTGGTCAAGAATAACCAGCCAACTTCAATAATATGTAATTACTAAGAGTAACTCAAAGCATCCTGCCTTTGCATCAATTTTGGTTAGGGAGTGGTACAAAAAGACAACAGTGGAGGACAAGCTGAGCCAACGGTGCTTCCTGAATGCTGCCTAAAATAATGTCAAGTTCTAAAAAGGCTCTTCTCTAGAGAGCACTAATACATTTAGTAACTATTAATAAACCAAACATTTGATTGGCACAAGGCAGTGTTCGGCTCCATATGTTTATATTTTTTACTGATTGAATAGCTATTTTCTATCATAGAAGATTCAGAAGATTATGTTAAATTGTTTGCTTTCTCCAGAGAATTTTCTTCTTGTGAAGCATGAAAAGAGTAAAACTTTTCATTTAATTTCAACAAATATTGAGGGCTTCTATATATCCAACACTGTTAGGAACTGAACATACCATGGTGTGATAAACAGACATAATCTCTGCTCTCACTAAGTTTGCAGGATTTCATCTTAAACAAGACCGTTATTTTCTAATGCACGTGAGCTCCTACATTGTAACTATATCTAGATATGAAAGATTGTTTTGTGATGCTCAGGTCTGATTTTCAATTCTCAAACTTACTCAGTGTTCAGTTGACAACTAAAGCTCATACTTTATTCAGCTGAGGTAGGGAGTCACTTGTGATGTCCTTCCACAGATGAGTTGATGCGTGTGTGTGTGAGCTGGCTAGGAATTTGAATTGGTGCGTTAGGAATGAAGTGAGCAGAGATAGAGGAGTCTTACAGGATGGTGGCTGTTGAAGAACAGCAACACTTAGCTGAACAATGGTGTTCAAGAGAAGGAGAGCACAGAGGGTTTAGGAGAGAAGAAATGAATTATTGAGAAGGGAGAGATTCAGAACAAACCAGAGTTGGAAAAGAAAAACCATACTGATAGAGACTTTGCCTTTAGAGATCTGGAAATTCTTACCCAAGTGGAAAATTAGTTGAAATTCTCCCTTAAACAGGAAAATACTGGGAAAGAGAAACACATCCCAAAACGGTTTCCTCAATAACCTAGTTCTAGCTTAGGAGGTAGAATTAGCAGGGTGAATTAGACAACTGAGAAGAGAATCATTGACTTTATTGCTAGCAAAGAAGATGGATCAGACAGAAAGGGGCTAAACCTAGGAGGCTTGATAGAGAAATACTGAACTGAGAAATCTGAACTTGCATAAGCAGGACCTAGCTAGACTGAAAACGTTTCTTTGCTGCTGCTATATTTGTGTATCAGGTGTGCTTATAAATCACCTTGCATAGGCATCAATAGTTTTGTGACTTCAAGATAAGGATCCTGAGAGTATATTTATTCAATCAATATATATTGATAACTTACACATTGCTGGGTGCTAGAAATAGAATAATGAATAAGATAGAAACAGTCAAAACTTACATTTTAGTGGACAAAACCCAGACATTGAGCAACTAATACCAAGTGAGATATGGGTTATAGGTAAAGTGTATAGGATGCTCTGGGAATGAAGGAGGAGCTACCAGTCGAAGGTAGAGGAGAGAGGAGTAATTCATTTATTCCTTTGGCCATTCAACAAATATTTGAGTCAGGTTCTGAGCTGTATCCCAGATGGAGAAAGTAGGTGACGTTTTTTGACAAAAGAGACAACCAAAAGAAGACTGGTATGCCGAGTGACTGTCTGCAGATGTGGACAGGTAGGCCACCCTCTGAAGAAGGGATTAAGGAGGAAGAGGTAGGTCTCAAGGTTTCCACATGCCAGGAGCCCTGCCTGTTGTTGACTGGTAGAAGCAGAGGCCTGGTCTTTGCCACCCTGCCCAGTGAACAGGAGGGATATGATCATGGGAAAGAGACCTCACTCTTGCTGAGGTTGCAAGAAACAGCAGCCTTGCCCTAGAAGCCCTCATGGGAACAGCTTAACCTTTCTTCCAAGCTGTCTTTATGGTTATGGCTGGTTGCAAAGCTCTAAATCATCTTGTTAACACATGCTCTGCCAAGTTGACTTATGCTCTCTCAAGCCCAAGCATGAGCAAGTTCTTTCTATGAATCCAGGCAGGGCTCTTGTGAACTGCAAATATGTATGACCATATGGTTAGGTGAGGGGATAGAGCCTCGGATCAACAATGCAATGAGCTATCAGATCGGTATGGTATGCACAATTTTTGAGAAATGACTCAAAGTATATTTCAAGGTAATCCATAGAATACAAAAGCAATAATTTTAAGTATACTTCAACCCAGGGAAAGAATTCTAATTCCTACCCCTAGCACAATGACTAGCCTATAATGAACACTCTGAAAGGATCCTTTATTCTCAATTAATTACATCTTCTTGTAGTAAATCATCACCATCTGCTATTTGTAAACTAAAACCCACACAAGCACTGTATCAGAATCTTGAAATATTCTGATACTACCTTCTTTTTCTTGTTACTATCCCTGAATAAAAAATGACTTGAATGCTCATTTTAAAGTCAGATAGGCAGGATCTAAAATTTTTTGAACTTCACATAATTAGATTTTCTTTTGCTAAATAAACAAAACAAAAAACCAATTTCCCCCTCCTAGGTTTTGAAAATGAATAGGTGTGATGGCTGATAGGTGAAGGACAAGCAGGCTCCTTGGCTGTCTGTGTTGGCATACAAAATCAGTGAAGCTGTTCCTTCCTCAGTAAATGAAGAAACATTCTTTTTCCATATAAAACATTCATCATTCGCATAAACTGGGCTCTGATAGAAGTAGTTAGACGAGACCAGTGAGACTGAATCCTGGTTTAGCTAGACTATAAAGGACCATCAACAGAAGAGCATCCAGCTACAAGCAACAGAAAGAAGCCTCACAGGGAGGGCACCCACAGGCAGAGTGAGGAGGGAGCTATAACCAGCAGATGGTGTGCATTGACCCAAGAAACTTCAGTTCTCCACTTTCTGGCAAAAGGTCATGAGGTTAGGAGCTAAGCTAGATTTCAGTCCCAGAAGACAGGAAAAAAAAAAAAAAAAGAAACTCATTTTCCAGAAGTAGAGAAAGAGCCAGGAGTGAGATTCCCAAGGGAGAAGGCAGAAACCTATTTACTAGATCTGGTGTCAGAGACAGATCACCAGGAGTGGGGAGCTGACTGGATGTGGGACATTTGAGCTACTGACCTTGGCCCCAGTGAGTGCCTGGCCCTGGAATGGGACTGACCCTTGGAGTCCCATATGGAACTCAACCAATCTGTCAACTTTCCAGAGCTTCCCATTTCTTTATTTTCATTTTGTTACCACAGTTGAGTGGCGCCATACAAAGTGTATTAGGCTGTTCTTGCAATGCTATAAAGAAATACCTGAGACTGAGTAATTTATAAAGAAAAGAGGTTTCATTGGGTCATGGCTTTGCAGGTTTTACAGGAAGCATAACACCAGCATCTGCTTTTCAGGAGGCCTCAGGGAGCTTTTACTTATGACAGAAGGTAAAGGAGGAGCAGGCATCTCACCTGGCAAGAAAGGAAGCAAGAGAGTGGGTGGGGAGGTGCCACACACCTATAAGCAACCAGATCTCATAACTCATTCTCTATTGCAAAAATAGCACCAAGTCATTAGGGATCTGCCTCCATGATCCAAATACCTCCCACCAGGCCCCACCTCCAACACTGAGGATTAATTCAACATGAGATTTGGGCGAGGACAAATATCCAAACTACATCACAAAGTTTCATAGCACCTATTGCTACGAACTTATTGAGTTATTTGTTGGAGATGGGGTCTTGCAATGTTGCCCAGGCTAATCTCCAATTCCTGGGCTCAAGTGATGCTGCTGCCTCAGTCTCCTGAGTAGCTAAGACTACACGTGTGTGCCACAGCATTCAGCTCTACTATTTTACAGAAGCTGTTAAAAGATTCATAGTTGCACGATGCTAGTTTCTTTAAGGTGACTTTCAAGGTTTCACTTGAATCATTTTTTTCTCAGCATATTATCAGATCCTTGCTAGAGTATTAAGTATGGTGCTTTGAGTAACTTATAGTTGATTTAATGATTGTGTGTATATTACATCATGATATTATTTGTTTATCTCATTCACTCAAACATGATTAAAATTCATTTCTCTGTCACAAACACAATTATTACTATTTTGCTTCTTGGCTTCTAAGTTAGTAATAACATTAATTACTACATACATGTGTTTTGAAAATAATTCATTTAGTGTCAAACTGGCAGAAGTATCAGAAACGTCCTAACTTCATTCAGCTAATTTCATTATTCCAGAAAATTAAGCCAAAGAGTTTAACAAAAGCTTTCTTTTCTGGAGTATTTTTTAAGTAATTACCAAATCTTCAAGCATATCTTGTTAGAAGCCTTTAATGATTTGGGAGTTCTTTAAATAAGAATTTCCTTAAAGTTCAGAAAAACCTTGATTAACAAAATAATCCTTAGAAGATATGGCTGGGTCATATCCATCATTTTACACTTGGCTTGCTTGTTTTTGCTTAAGCATCAAACACAGAGAAACAAATTCACTGCTGGCTATTGGATACTTGCTCGGCAACTTCAATTTAACTTTGCAATCACCTAGTCTAGTCTATGAGGTGGACCAACTCCCATTTCATTAGCTTCACAGTTAAGGCACTACAGTTGGACTCCTCTGGATTGCAGAAATGGAATATTAAAGGAAGATTATACCTCTGAGAACTGTTTAAACAAAACATTTTAAGATAAAAACTCATTGATTCATTTTGAGTTTTTATCTAGGATAGCAGAAAAATAAAAATGAGTAGAAACAAATTCATCAATAATTCTATCAAATGGAATCCCACACTATATGCCAGACAGGTAGCCCTCTAGCACTTCTTCTTATTAGTTGCTGCTTACCCTTTTGTGTGATAATTTCATATGACAACACATGTACTGAAAATCCTTACCCATCTGAACTAATCTCATTGGGTGGCATATCCCTTCACTTTGCCCCAACATGGAAAAGCCAAACTAGTTTTCTGTTGCACTCTGTGCAATAGCCAAATCTATACTCTCCACTCAGCTTATGTAAGCTTCTGTCAGTCAACCACCCCAGCCTCATCTACTTTATCTCTGTCTTCTATTGACTCCAAAGGCATTAATCTGCTTCTTTAAGACTCTGATATGACATGGTGGCTCATGCCTGTAATCCCAGCATTTTGGGAGGCCGAGGTGTGCAGATCACCTGAAGTGAGGAGTTCGAGACCAGCCTGACCAACATGAAGAAACCCTGTGTCTACTAAAAATACAAAAAATTAGCTGGGTGTGATGGCACATGCCTGTAGTCCCAGCTACCCAGGAGGCTGAGGCAGGAGAATCGCTTGAACCCAGGAGGTGGAGGTTGTGGTGAGCTGAGATTGTGCTATTGCACTGTAGCCTGGGCAACAAGACTGAAACTCCATCTCCAAAAAAAAAAAAAAAGACTCTGGCACCTTTCACAGTCTGCCCTTCCACGGATAAGTTCTACCATCTTGCTATGTCATATCAGAGACCCTGTGGACAACCTCTGGTATACTCTAGCTTAAGAGTTTCTTGACCATCTGAACTCTCCTGACTTTCACCTTCACTTCACATTGGTGAATACATTTCCACAACGACATCTTAATGTTCTCAGATCTTAATGTTCTCACAACCCAGAACAGTTGTGCCTCTGAAATATTCATCTCGAGTAACCCCCTCTCCAATAAGAATCTTCTGATCCTTAGAATTTTTTTTTTTTCATTTCTTTATTCCCTCTACACCTGCTCTTCAACTTCACTGCCAACTCTCACCCTATGGCCACTCCATTTTTACCTTACCTTTCATTTATATCCTCTATCCAGCGTACATCCTGTGCCATCCCTGAAACCATCATCTCACCAAAGTATTTCATTCCCTTGCCCCCTGTGAATGAGCCTACCCTGAATTGATTCAGCTGCCTTCCTCTTCCCTTCCAACTCTAGGCTAAGAGATCTAATAATGTTTTTTATATGTGTGTTTGTTTGCTTACTTACTGTCTCCTTTACTAAGCTCATTGTAAGCTCCTGTGGGCAGGGACTTTGCATTGTTCACTCTGTGTTTAGGTGCTGGGTAACCTTAGCGTCTAAAACAGTGCCCAACAATATCTGTTGAAGCTATTATTGGTGATACTGGAGAAACCACACAACTGGTTTAATGCCATTTCAAGTTACAGCCCTCCACTTCAACAGAGCCATCAATTCTGTGTGCATGGCCCACTCCTCACATGGACCCTTTCTAGTCTTCATACTCTCCTTATTTACTTTCTCTACCAGCTCACTCTCAGGGGGAGATTTTTTGCTTGTTACTTCGTAGAGGCCAACTGGATCATGACCCATTCAACCCCCAGTCTCTTCCAGCCTCCAAACATACTTGCCTTTTAGCCATCTTGGCTTCTTTCACTCGGTATTAAATAAAAGGGAAGACAGCCATTCTCTATCTCAGAATAATCCTACATTCTTTCGCTGGATACATATCCTCTTTTATTTCCCCATGGACAAGATCCATCAATTTTCCAATCTTCCAGCCTTCAAACATATGTGCCTTTTAGCCATCTTGGCTTCTTTCACCCAGTATTAAATAAAAGGGAAGACAGCCATTCTCTATCTCAGAATAATCCTACATACTTTTCCCTGGATACATATCCTCTTTTACTTCCCCATGGACAAGATCCATCAATTTTCCATCTTCAATGTCTTCGTCTCTGCCTTCAACATTTAGCCCAGTCAACCTCTCAGCTGTGTTTAATTCCAACAATCACTCTCTCATTTTTGACATCTGCTCTTCCATTTGCTTTGGTGATTTTATGCTTTGCTGGTTTTCCTTCTACCTCTCTGAATACTACTTCTCGGTTTCTTTAGGAGTTTCTTCCTCCTTTCATTTTCAAATGTTGCTTTATGTGATGCCATTTTTGATTCCCTTCTCCATTTCCCTAGGAAATCTCAACCATATCATCCACATGCTGATGACCCTTGAATCTTTATTTCCAGCACCATCTTCCCTGAACTCTACCACATCAAATATGTACCAGTATCTCAAATTTAAACTGTCTCAAGGTGAACTCTTCACTGCATTGGTCCCAGCCTATTACCCAATAAGCTGTTGCTTCAGTGTTCCCTAGCTTGGTGAACGGCCAAGCTTACCACCCAATTTACCAAACCAGAAACTTGAATTACCTTTCCCTCACTTCTTTTTCACAACCTCACCTATTTTTTCACAACCTCACAAATTTACAGAAACATTATGTCTTATGAATTCCCAGTAAATATTTCATAAATCTATCCATTTCTCAGCCTGGGCAACATGAGGAAATCCTATCTCTAAAGAAAATTACAAAACTTAATGGTATATGGTGGCACATGCCTGTAGTCCCAGCTACTCCGGAGGCTGAAGTGGGAGGACTGCTTGAGTCTGGGGAAGTCAAGGCTGTAGTGAGCCGTGATTGTACCACTGAACTCCAGCCTGGGTGACAGAGTGAGGCTCCATCTCCAAACAAACTAACAACAGCAACAGCAACAAAAACTGTTGCCATTCAAATCCAGGCAACCACCACACTCATCCAGATAAGTGCAGTAGCCCAATTTCCTGCCCACAGCCATTCTTTAATTCTTGTCAGTGATCTTTCTCAATAATTCTGACAAAGTCATGCGTCCTTTCAAACCCTTCTTTCTGTGACTTCTCACCGCTACTAGAAGGAAGCGCATTCACTTTAACAATGACTACAAAATCCAACTCGTGCTTTTTTCTTTTGCCTGTAGTGAACAATTCTCCTTCCTGCCTCCACTTTCCTATCTTCATACACACCCTCTATGACAGCCTTACAGAAATTCTTTCAGTTTCCCAGTCTCGCCAAGCTCTCTCACAAACAAGGAGCACTGAAACGTTATTCCCTTGTTTGGGTAAATTTTTGCCTCCACTTTACCAGGCCTAAATTAGACAGCAGCCAATCTCGACAATGCCACACCACCGTTGAAAATCCCTTAGATGCTCCCTGTGGCATTTTAATTTTATTCATTTTCTGTAGACTTCAGGAGATATTGCAACCCGTTTATCATGGCATATAAGACCCTTTGTGACCTGGGCCCTGGTTACTTCTCCAGCATCACATCTTGCTTGCCTCTACACCCCAGCCATCATGAATTACTTCCAGGTCCTAAACTCACCGAGCTCTCTCCTCCATCTTGCATACAGCCTATGCGCATGCTCTCCTCTGCTCCCATTGGTTGGGTAATCCAACTACCTTTCAGAATTTAGCGGGTGATGTGGGACTGGCTTCCTGGCCTTGTTGCCATCACTTCAGCTGCCCACTCCCATACCCACTCTGGTTTAGCTGCTCCTCTCTCAGAGCATCTGTAGCACACACAATCTTCTTGTCACTATCATAGCACTTATCAAACCATTTTGTTTACGTCTCTCACACTGACCAGATTTTCCTGAGGGCAGGAGGTATTTTAGTTCATATTTCCAATGTCTAATGTTCAGTGTTTAGAAGGTGCTTGATTAATGCTTTCGTGAGGGAAAAAAATGAATGCCAGGTATGGAGGGACGTGCCTGTAGTCCCAGCTGCTTAGGAGGTTGAGGAGTGTGGATTGCTTGAGCCCAGGAGCCTGAGGGCAGTCTAGGCAACACAGGGAGACTCTGCCTCTAAAAAAGTAAAAAATAAAATTTAAAAGATAAAATTAATTAACTAATGAATAGATAAATGAATAAATGAATGAATGGATGAGGGAAAAAGTTGTTCTAATGTCTCCACAGAAACATCATGCCTGCATTACACTGGGGAAATTTAGGAAGACATTCCAGGTTGAGCTTCTCCATGATTAGCAGAAAATCAGGCTCAGTGTCTCTCCTCTCTAACGTAAAGTCTTCACTGGGCACACAGTCTGAAATTGAACCTGTTAAAGCAATCAGTTGGTCAATATGTATCTTCTTTTAAAAATGCAAATGTCCAGGCAATTCCTATACTGCTTAACATCTATTCATTTACTTAAATTGCTTTTCCTCCTAACACATAACAGAAACTACTCTACTGAAGAAATGGAAATTCTGTGTGCCCAGGAAGAATAGAAAGTTTAGCAGCATAGGTATATTTCAAAAGCTTCCCAAACCATTGTAATAAGCAGCCATATTTGAAAATCACTATTATTTAGTGCTTTTCAACCTTACTGTGCAGGGAGATCACCTGAAAGGGTTACTGAAAGTGCAGCTGCAGATTCAGTAGGTCTGAGGTGGGGCCCAAGACTGCATTTTTGCACGTTCTCAGCTGCTGCTGCTGCTGTTGTTGGTCCATGGACCACACATTGAATACCAAGGATCTAGTCATTCTCCTAATGCAGACCTCTAACTTATTTACCTTTAGGGATTAATCAGTGGTAAGAAAAGGGATAATGGCAAAGGTCTGCAAGGGTGAGCACAGAGTAACTACATTTGTAAACTAAGGTGTGCCTGTTGGTTTTTCTTCACAGGAAACACAGATTCAAGTGTTCATTTCTGATTGTGCTCATTCTAATTGATTCAAAGCCTAAACTGTCACCCCCATGCTAAGAGCACAGCAATCAAAGAAAATGTTAATAAAGGATGATACATTTTTATTTGAGACTACCTAAAATGTATTATATTCTGTCTCCTTCTCTTTCTTTCTCTCTCTCTCCCTCTCTGGCTATTCCTCTTTAAAAATATATTGTTTGCTCTCCTTCATCCCTATCCAGAAGAGGAAACACAAGAAGAAATACTTGGTGCAGAGCCCCAATTCCCACTCCCTGGGTGTGAAATGCCCAGGATACTATAAAATCACCACAGTTTTTAGCCATGCACAAATGATAGTTTTGTGTGTTGGCTGCTCCACTGTCCTCTGTCAGCCTCCAAGAGGAAAAGCAAGGCTTACAGAAGGATGTTCTTTCAGGAGGAAGCAGCACTAAAAGCAGTTTGAATCAAGATGAGTGGGAAACCACCTCAATAAACACATTTTGGAATATATATGTGTGTGTGTGTGTGTGTGTGTGTGTGTGTGTGTGTGTGTAGTTTGCCTTTTGATTTGATTATTATTTGATTCTCAAAAAAGAAAAAAATGTTAAATACTGCATTTGACGGTTGGGTGTGTTGGCTCACACCTGTAATCCCGGCACTTTGGGAGGCTGAGGCGGGCAGATCACAAGGTCGGGAGTTCAAGACCAACCTGGCTAACACAGTGAAACCCAGTCTCTAATAAAGATACAAAAAATTAGCCGGGCCTGGTGGCATGCACCTGTAATCCCAGCTACTCAGGAGAGGCTGAGGCAGGTGAATAGCCTGAACCTGGGAGGGAGACGGAGGTTGCAGTGAGCCAAGACTGTGCCATTGCACACTCCAGGCTGGGTGACAGGGCTAGACTCCATCACAAAAATAAATAAATAGTGCATTTGTGATTTTCATGAAATAAGATGTTAAATGAATCAGAGCTGTACATTATACCTTTGGTGCATCTTCCTGAAGAATGTGTAACATGAAATAGGCTGTCATTAGTCTTTGCTGTTTCTCTGTAAAATGAGACACTTTTAATTCCAATTTTGTAGATAAGGAAAATGAAATGCAGAAAGCTGAACTGACTTAATTAGGAACACATACCAATAACACAGGATGTGGCCGAAACTTACATCCTAGATCTCCCATGCTAAAAGTTGGCTTAGTGGAAAAAGAAGCAGTAAGCTTCCAAAAATTGTGCCTGTTACACATAACACTTGCATCTCTTTGAAACAAACTTTATAATTTAACAGCCCTTCTCCTGCACGTATTTCTTGCTGGCATTTATATTCTATTCATCTAATTATTAACCTATATTCTTCCTAAAAGAATTCAAAGTGGCCTTAGAGGGCTACATAAAATAAAGTAATATACATTGTCTGAGAACGAAAAGAGGAACAGGAATAAAGCTGATGAAGCAAGTTTATACAAAGAGGTCCTATAATTTCAAGTTAAATTCAAATTTGGCTCTTGACTTTCTACCAGTCAAGGTGAAAAGGGAAACATGTCACAGCACTTGCGTGAAAAACCAACACATTTTTCCAGAAGCAGTAACTGCTAAATGCTCTGTGGTAGACCAAGTAGTCTGGCTTTGATCCAGACGGCTGGTACACCTGGGCACATATGTCTTTCACTTCCTCTGCAAGTGAAACCCCAGGGAGTAAAAAACAGGGCTTCCCACACCTAATCCTCAAATAATTTTAACTTCCCAGTTGATTTACTATTTCCAGAGACTTTTCATCAATATAATGCTAATATAAAGTAAATAACAGAGGCTCACGCAAACTAAAAAGCTTGTGTTTATTTAGGGAGGATTTCACAGATGTTGAAAACTACAGATAATCATTTAAATTGCAAGAATGGAACTCATAGACTCAACATACAACAGCAAGCGTAAGATCAAAGCATAAGATAATTACGTAAAAATAGACATTGGAAAGATGGAGGAAAGGATGCGGGTGATTTTTCTTTTTATTTCCTTTTTTTTTTAGCATCTTTTGGTTATTAATTTAAACACCATAAAATTCACCCAATAATATTTGGTAAACTTATACAGTTGTGCAACCATCACCGCAATCCAATTTACACTTGATCTTTAGCCAAAAGGCTGAGAATCTGTCACAGTCCAGTTTCAGAACACTTCTATTATCCCAAGAAGTTCCCTTATGTCCATTGGCAGCCAATCCCTGCTTCATCTTCAGCCTCAGGCAATCAATATTCTCTCTTCTGCCCCTATAGTTTTGCCTCTTCTAGAAGTTTCACATAAATTGAATTTTACAATATGCAGTTTTTTGTGTGTCTGGCTTATTTCACTTAGCATAACATTTTTGACATTCATCTATACTGTTGCACATAATAGTAGTTTGCTCCTTTTTATTGCCGTGTGGTTTGTAGTTCATAGCTATATGACATTTTGTTGATTCACCTGTTGATACACATTTGGGATGTTTCCATGTTTTGGCTTTTATATATAATGCTGTAATGAACAATCACAAAAAAGTTCTTGCTAGGATATGTGTTTTCATTTCTTTTAAGTAATACCTAGGAGTAGAATTGCTGGGTTGTAGGGAAGGTATATATTTAACATTTTGTAAAAACTGTCAAACTGTTTTCCAAAATGTTTCTAACATTTTGATCCAGATGTACTAAAATTTACATTCCCACCATTAATGTATGATGGTTCAGTTTCTCCACATCCTCACTCACAGTTGAGACTATCCTTTTCATTGTAGCATGTAGTGGTTAATTTTAGGTGTCAGCTTGACCAGGTTAAGAGATACCCAGATAGCTGATAAAGCATTATTTCTAAAGCATTATTTCTGGGTGTTTCCATGAGAGTGTTTATGGAAAAGAGTGGCATTTGAATCAGTGGACTAGGTAGAGAAGATCCACACTCAGCATTGTGGCTGAGCATCATCTAATCGGTTGAGGACCCAGATAAAACAAAAGGCAGAAGGAGGGGAAATTCTCTCCTTCTTCTGGAACTGGGACGTCCCCCTTCTTCTGTTCTCAGACATCAGAACTCTAGGTCCTTGGGCCTTTGGTAACTAAGACTTTCTATGCATATTCCATTGGTTCTGTTTTCTGGAGAAGGCCTGACTAATATGTGGCCTTTCTAGGATGTTTTGAACAAAAAGAATGTATGCTAGTTTTCAGTCAGTTCAGAAATAGGATCAAAACAAGCCACCACCAGCCCCTGACAAAATCTCCTTTTCTAAATGGTCTTAAAGAATGAAAATTTACAGGATTCAAAAGCTTGTGCAACATTCTCCTTATGGTGTTTTAAATTCTGTATTTTTCAATTTCCTTCAAGTCATCTATCTATTTTAGCAACTTGAGCCTCGTATCATATCAAAGCCTTACCAGAAAGCACCTTGCTACCTCGTGGATTTGCTTATGAGTAGGACAAAATGGATCCTTCAACTAAAGAGGAATCTTTCTACATCTCTTATTCTAAAATGTTAAATATCAAACCAGGATCCTCACTCCAACCTAAGTAAGTTTGTATCCACCCCCTCTGCATGTAGATAATTTCTATAGCTATAAAATAAACCTTTGGAGTACTACTTAGCTTACCAGGCATTGCTAATTTTCTTTCCCTTTAACTACTTAATTCAACTTTTTAGGTTTACAATTTCTTGACCATTCACTAAAAAATGATGGTGTACTACTTGCTCAAAATTTCCCTGGAGGGTAAAAAACACATTATATATTTGTGTATTTATCACATAATTGATTCCCATTCTTGGAAAGGATTTGATTGATAGATGCTAATTTTGACTAGAGAAATGTAAGGTAATATCCCTACACAATTTTCATGAGAATTGTGCCAGGGATGCCACCTAAAGTAAATTGCCACATGCCACAGTCAAATTAACAAAGGTGTACTTCTATGGTCTTCCCACTAAGATGTCCAATGCATTCTCATTCCATGAAGGATTTTTTCCAAACTTAATTACATAATGAAATAGCCTCATTTCCTACACTGAAAGGCTGCTACCAGGCCAGCAGTCCCTATGAGTTAGCCATCAGTCCTTCCTGGATTTACCTAATTGTGCTATTTTTCTTCATGGAGGTTTCAAGGTGATAACAGACAAGAAGGTAGAGACCATGGTTCACAATACAGCAGAGATGTGTTGTTGTAGTCAGGCAAAGGTCAGCAGTTGCCAAGATACATCACCAAGGGTATCACCATGATTGAGCCCTTGCAGACATTTGCAAGCTTCATTTCAGTTCAAGGGTCATAGCTCAAGGCACACAAAACTTACAATTAAATCAGCATGTGCATACAGTAGTCTCCTCCTTAGCTGTGGTTTCACTTTCCATGGTTTCAGTTACCCATGATCAACTACAGTACAATATATTAAATAGAAATTTCCAGAAACAGACAACTCAAATGTCTTAAGTCATGCACCTCTCTGAGTAGCATGATGAAAGTCACTGAGGAGCCTTCTCCATTATCATCATATCCACTGATTCAGGATGACAGTGTTTGTGTTCAAGTAACCCTTATTTTACTTAATGATGACCCAAAGCACAAGAGTAGCGATGCTGGAACATTGTTATAATTGTTCCATGTTCTTATTAGTTACTGTTATTACTCTCTTACTGTATCTAATTTATAAATTAAATTTTATGGTGGGTATGTAAATATAGGAAAAAATACAGCATATGTAGGGTTCAGTACTGGTTCAGTCCAGTATCAGGCATCCACTGGGGTCTTGGGGGAATCCTCAGAGGACAAGAGGGGGACTGCTGTGCATTATCTCACCATGCTGAAAATATCTCTCAAGTAACAGAACACCACCTCTCCTTGTATTAATAATTAAATAATCATAAAAAGTTTTCTTGGTATGTGCAGAATTAAAATAAAAGGAGTGGACAGTTCAGAGAGGTGTTTCATCCAGGTCTTAATGTCCCACAAGCCTGTCTCTCAGGGCTGCCATCGACAAATGTGCAGTGTCCAACCTTCATGACTATATAGGTGGTCCACTCTCTCTTGTAAACTCTATTGATTATGTCTTAACTTGGCCTCTCTGGCATCTAAATAATTTAGGACCACACTTCTAACTTCTAATATATGCTTCTGCAGACCCCTCAATTCTATGTTGTCTTTTTTTTTTTTTTTTGAGATATAGTCTTGCTCTGTCACCCAGTCTGGAGTGCAGTGGCGCTGTCTTGGCTCACTGCAACCTCTGCTTCCCAGGTTCAAGCAATTCTCCCTCAGCCTCCTGAGTAACTTGGATTATAGGTACGTGTCACCATGCCTGGCTAATTTTTGTATTTTTTTGTAGACAAATTTCACCATGTTGACCAGGCTGGTCTTGAACTCCTGACCTCAAGTGATCCGCCCGCCTGGGCCTCCTAAAGTGCTGGGATTACAGGCATGTTGCCATGTAAGGTAACATATTCAGAGGCTCTGGGAGTTGGATGTGAATATCTTCGAAAGGCCATTATTCTGCCTACCATTATGAAGGAACCACTGATAACATCTTGAGACCATTTAAACCAGTTGTACCCAGTCACAAGTGACTGTGCTGCCCCCAGGGGACATTTGGTAATGGGTACAGACATTTTTTGGTTGTCATAACTAGGAGAGGACCTGACATCTAGTTGGTAGAGGCCAGGGATGCTGCTAAATATCCTATAATACACAGAATAGCACCTACAACAAAAAATTATATAGCACAAAAATATCAATAGTGATTGAGTCAAGAAACCTAGATTTAAAGCATGAGATTCCTTGAAATCTAAGTTAGGAAGGTTACAATGCAATGAAAGTCAGTTTCAGGATTTAGACTTACATAGAAAAGTCTGCAAAATCACATACAAACTCGATAAGTCTAAGTTTTTGACAATCTTACAGGGTAAATAAGTGATGAATAATACTTTGTAGCATTTTGATCCCTTCCTTAAGTTCTTCTTTCTTAAGTGGTATTTGTTTTATTTTAGGTCTGGTGTAATCTTTCATACTGACACATTACACATATGGGTAAGTTAATTTAAAGTATACATAAACATCATTTTATGTACATCATAAATATTTAGGTCCTAGATGCTCAGATTTAAAATATGTAACACCAAACAGATTTGAAATAGCCTTCTGCAATATTTTACTTCTGTCTTGGTATGGCTTGATTTCTATTCCTTGACTTCAAAAGATCAAAGAGAAAATTACATTTGCTGTGACATTCCCTTCCACTGGGAGAAAGGTTCGAGTTGGGGCCATCTTTCACTTAATGGAAGCACCTTGAATATCAATACTTACTTTTCCCATTCTCAAGAATTTCTGAGCTCATGTTTGAACCCACCTAGTCTCTTAAAGTGCCCTATAGACTTGCTGATAAGATATTTTATATTTTTTCAACATCTTTCTATTCATATTTTTCTTTTCTTTTTTTTGTTTTGAGATGGAGTCTTGGTCTGTTGCCCAGCCTAGAGTGCAGTGGCATGATCTCAGCTCACGGCAATCTCCGCCTCCCAGGCTCAAGCAATTCTCCTGCCTCAGCCTCCCTAGTAAACGGGATTATAGACATGCGCCACCAAATCCAGCCAATTTTTGTATTTCTAGTAGAGATGAGGTTTCACCATGCTGGCCAGGCTGTTCTCCAACTCCTGACCTCAAGTGAGCTACCCACCTCCGCCTCCCAAAGTGCTGGGATTACAGGTGTGAGCCACCGTGCTCAGCCTTCATATTTCCTTTTCTTTCCATCCGCTCTACTCCTGTCATTCTACTTTAATACTTGATTTTGTCCAAGTTTTCCTCTAGGATTTTCCTAGTTTGCAATAACTTCTAAAAGAAATAGTTGTATTTTCTGTGGCAGAAAAGATCTCCTAACCAGCAAAAGACTCTGTGTGTGTGTGTGTGTGTGTGTGTGTGTGTGTGTGAATATGAAGAGTGTATCTATGAGGGTGTGTGTCATCTTATTTATTCCTCTAGGAAGAATAGTAACTACCAATGTGAACAAGTATTCTGATGGCTTGTGAACCAACAGGATGAAGAAAAATACACAGCTATACAGCAACCTTGTTTACTACAGAAGTGATTTCTATTGTATACATTCCTCTGCCAAGATACAGTTCTGCAAGGTGTTTTACATTTAGTTTGATTTCTAATCTATGATTAAAGGATACAGGTTAAATACATTTTAGAGAGTTGAGACTTGCCAAACATTATTTAAAAACTGTATCTCTAAACATTAAGTCACATTTAAGATCCCAGATTCTGAATGTCACATTGCTCCTTGGGAGGAGAAACCTGCCTAGATCTCTGTCGCAAAATCACTTCTTGTTTATAAAAATACACCTACCTAGTCAAAAAAATCCAGCTTCTTTGAAAATAAAATTCAAGGAAAAGAAGACAAAAAAGAAAAAATAGTGAGAAAAGACAGAATCTATAGATTAACATACTGAAGAGACATGTCAAGTGCATTAGAGACAGGAATTAACCCTTAGTAGTCAATATGTAAGTGGAAGTTTCTCAAAGCAGGACAGCCTGAGCATTTAATAGGGTAGCTGGTAGAGAGAGAAAGCATAGGAGGACTTGGGGAGGAAGTAAATGTTAACTTTGACAATTTGGGCACATGCTGACTTTCGCACAAGACCATGGACATCTTCCAGCCAAGGTACCAACCTGTGCAGCCATTTCCCTTGGAATAAAGTAGCTTTGTTTCTGAGACAAACTTTGAAGGAGAAAGTGCATCTTATGTTGAGCAGCAAATGGCTAACATCTAAATCAACTCTCCCTCAAGCTCCCCACATCACATCTCAAGATGTCTGGCCATAGCACTTGCGACCCAGAGCCAAAAAAAAAAAAAAAAAAAAAAAATCCATCAAAAAGCAATACGAAAAAAGCAAGGGGCACAGATACAGAACATTAGACTACAGCCTAGAATTGCCAGATATTTTCCCATCATTCTTTTGCAAAGTTCAGTGAATAACAAAAATCCATGTAAAGAATATCCAAGGCTGGGTGTAGTGGCTCATTCCTGTAATCTCATCCCTTTGGGAAGACAAGTTGGAGGATCACTTGATCTCAGCAGTTCAAGACCAAGCCTGGGCAACATAACACCCCCCTCTGCTACAGAAAAATTTTTTAAATCCTAGCCAGAAGTGGTGGCAGGTGCCTATAGTCCCAGCTACCCAGGAGGCTCAGGCGGGAGGATGCCTTGAGCCTAGGAGATCAGGAGATCAAGGCTACAGTGAGCTGTGATCACACCACTACACACTCCAACCTGGGTGACAGAGCAAGACCCTGCCAGAAAAAAAAAAAAAAAGGAATATCCAGCAGAAAATGCTTAAAATTATTTGGGACAGTTTATTTCTTATTTCTTATAAGACACATAGACGTCTAAAAAGGAGGTTTAGAATCTCTTGTTAAAGGGCATAAGCATTGTGTTATATCCCAGGGTGCTGCCCTTAGCTACCACCTTTCTTCTTGAAGAAAGAACAACTACTCCCATTTTCAACACACTCTAATTGGTAGAATTTCTATAGCTCCATACACTTTCCTGTTTTCTGCTCTTATTCTTTTTTCTCTTCTAATCACTGATATTGTCTTAAGTTCAGCCCTTAAACTTCTTCTCTTCTTTTGAGAACTCAAATACTCCCAAGGCTTCCACTATCACTTCTAAACTGACAGATCCCAAATTCAAATTTCAGATTTTTAAACCTCATCTCTACCTCCCTGCTGTCTATCCTCATGTGGCTGTTACCCACGGCTTAGACCAAACACATCCACATCCACCTCATAACCTCTCTATTTCTGTGTGAGCTGCCACCATTTTTCTTAGTCCCTTGGGTTCTAAAACTTGGCATCATTCTCAACTAATTCATTTTATTTAGCAAGTCTGTTCTATTGAGTCACCCAATTCTCCCTTCCATTACCTCAATAGCCCTCTTATCTCACCACAGGCCACCCTTTTTTGCTAACACCTAGAGTACAGCAGCAGCCCCACCTGCCTGTCCTCCTTTTCACTCAATCCATCCAACTTCACATTCCTGGAATCATCTTTCACCTTTGGCCTGATCACTCCCCTGTTCAAAAATATCTGTTTTTCCTGTATTACAATATCAAGGATAAACATGGAGTTCCAAGATTCTCCATAATGCACTCTTCCAACAAGCATACATTTTTACTACTTCTCAATAACATAGTTTATTTCTGTTGTGTTTGGAATTCCTTCTTCTGTACCTCCACATCTCAATTCTAGCCCCACTTCAAGGTTCTCCCCAAATGTTAATTTCTCTGCCTAGATTTACAGGCCTACATCTCACTCCCTTCTTCTCACTCACCTGCTGATGTGCATTGTGAAATTTAACACAATATTCGATGCTTACCATTTCATAAGTGTTCATTTTCTTTCTCCAACTACATGGCAAGCTCCATACAAATAGAGATACAGTTTTCTATTGCCCTGCCATATAGCCCAGGGCTGAAAACAGTGATATATTTTTCAGAGTAGACAAGTTAATTAATCTACTACTTAAATACATTTTTATTTTCCTTGATTATAGAGCCAGACACATAAATAAAATGAATAAAAGTATAAACAAAGCAAATGAAGATTAGCACTTAATTTTAAATGTTATACATCAGCTGCATAACTATTACATGTAAAAACCATTTCTTACCTGATTTTATGCAGTCTGATGACTTGCAAATACCATCTAGGAAAAGGAGGAAATATGCATAAATATTGGCAACACATTTTTAATTTTCTACTTATCTTTTGCTCTTTTAAAAACTGCCAATTAAATAAGCAATTCCTTAAAGCAAGAACTAAAAACTGAGCATTATATGTCTTTTTCAGTGGTTAGAGAAAATATAAGAAAATAAAGTAGGTAAAATCTAAATTTAAAACTTTGATTATGAAGAAAAATGTGTTATTATATCTTCTCTGCCAACTAAGTCCTAGGCATATTAAATTGAAATAATCAGTTGTTTTTGCTTGGTAATCATTTTTTTTTGTTTGCCATTAAACAACCAATCTTTTTTAATCCTTATTGTGAAAAACTTCCAAGACTCGAATTACATTTGTTAAATTCCTGTGAAGACCTTTAGAATTTCAATGACACAACAAAAATTGACTAATGACTATTACTAAAGCTGGCCACAAAATTGTGTATATTTTAATCAAATAAAAACTATACATCAGATTGCTCATAAGTAAGCATGAGTGCACTAAATATACTTGCAATTAATAACTTAGCTCAACATAAAAGGTATTGTACTTCAGAGTTAATTGGTTTGACATACTGATGTTACATTCTATAAATGAATCGCTTTGTCAGTCTTTAAATGCCTCTATCCTTAGCACATGTATTAGATAGATGGTAAAAGCATAGTGGAAGATTTCCTTCTCTTTTGCATTTACGGATGCACAGGTGTGGGAGTAACTTACCATCGTAGGTTGCATAGAGCGCGATCATTGTCACAGCTATGATGGTGAGGAGCAGGACAAGGACCGAGAGGCTGATCTCTAGTGGGGTCCATCGCTGTTTCTTCTTTGGCTTTGGAGTGTTGATATCAGTTATATCCATCTGACTTTCTGATCTGCCCATCACCTAAAATCTGCAAAAAATGAAAATACTGATAATGAAAAATATATAGATAAAAAAGAAAATGTTCAAATACCTAATATGGCTGGATAAAAGTAAAAGGTTCAGTTATTTTAAATTAGAAATACATTTTTGCTGTTGAGAAGTCAAAATTGTGTTGTTGAAAGCAAAGAATATAGAGCCAAATGAATTTGACAGGTCTCAGTCACAACCTTTTGGGTTTGTTTTTTTTTTGGTATATCACTGGAAATCTCAGCAAAATTAGACAGTGAGACTTGGTTGAATACTCAAGTAGGATTGCTTCAGCAGTTTATAAGCAAATAATTGCTCTACCATCATTAAGAAAGTTTTAAACTCACCCTTTTGAACTCTGGACTAACAACAAAGGTTAATTTTATATCTTGCTCCAGTGGCTTTTTTTATGAGCTCAAAAATCAATGACTAGTACCTTGAGGTTTTGACTAAGTCATAATTTGAAATACTAATGTAGATAAACAGCAAAAGGAATGATAACATGAGATAGTTCATTTTAGTCATAAAAACAACTTTTATTTTTACAGTTCAAAATTACTACTACTACTGATATAGGTATCTATTAACTGGTTAGATAACATGCTGAAAATGGTCACACATCCTGAATATCCAGCCTAACCATACCCAATCCCATTTAAGAGGGGAGTAAGGGGGACAAGTAAACAAAAGAATGCAAAAAATTACCAAGTTGATACTTGTCATCCTATATAAAGCAGGGTGTGCAAAACATACCTGTGTTCTTTTTTTTTTTGAGATGGAGTCTCACCCTGTCAGCCAGGCTGGAGTACAGTGGCACGATCTTGGCTCACTGCAGGCTCTACCTCCCAGGTTCAAGTGATTCTCCTGCCTCAGCCTCCCAAGTAGCTGGGACTACAGGCACTACCACGCCTGGCTATTTTTTGTATTTTTAGGAGTGACAGGATGTTGGCCAGGATCATCTCTATCTCCTGACCTTGTGATCCACCCACCTAGGCTTCCCAAAGAGCTGGGATTACATGCATGAGCCACTGCGCCAAGCAGCATAACTGGATTCTTAAAAATCTTTCATCTCAACTAGAGATGTGTTAAAAAGTTTTAGCCTAAAAGTGGAAACTGACACAGAATAGAATAATTAGGAAACTGGGGCACAGAGAAGTCAGGCAACATGCTCAAGACTACACAACTAGTCAATATTCTTTGTAAAGAACACATTTGGATGGCTGGGCCGGTGGCTCAAGCCTGTAATCCCAGCACTTTGGGAGGCCAAGATGGGTGGATCACGAGGTCGAGAGATCGAGACCATCCTGGTCAACATGGCGAAACCCTGTCTCTACTAAAAATACAAAAAATTAGCTGGGCATGGTGGCGCGTGCCTGTAATCCCAGCTACTTGGGAGGCTGAGGCAGGAGAATTGCCTGAACCCAGGAGGCGGAGGTTGCAGTGAGCCGAGATCGCGCCATTGCACTCCAGCCTGGGTAACAAGAGAGAAACTTCGTCTCAAAAAAAAGAACACATTTGGTTACTGTTCAAAATAAAGCTGTATCATCACGTAGGAAAAGCTGATTTAGATCTTAATGTAGAAATTTAGGGGGAAAATTAAGGAGATATAAGCCTAAATATTAAATTTCATCAGGGCCTAGTGATATTTTATCACTCAGTCCCCAAGGATTAGAGCACAGAATTTCAATTTTTCTGCATAACTGTACAAAAGAACATCTTAAACTAACAGATTAGCTGTTTATAGTTCAATACAAATTACTCTTAGAATTTCTTCTTGGATGACGTGACGGCTCAGAAATGCTCTTATAGTTAAAGATCTTTATTGAATACACACAATTCCCTAAGGGTGTGTTTTATGGAAACTGAGGCATAGGAGAAAGAAGAAACATTTTACATTTGAAGTGTGGTCTGGGAGACCCAGCAGAAAACTAGGAAATTAACCTTCCCAGTGAATTATTAATAAGTGAACCACAATTAGACCTTAAAGTTCTGGATACAAAGTCTTAAACATGCTGTCCGCTTGATTACATGAGGCTATAAGCAAGGACAGACTATCAAATAAAAATATTTTATTAGACAATGAAAACCGTGTCTGCTCAATAAAAGTGGAATGTAATGTACCTGAATGTTAAAATGTCTTACTTAATGGTTATGTAAGGCATGCTGGCTTAGTCTCACCACCCCTGGGGTTATGATATGGAATTGCATTGATTGTAGTCCTATTTTAATAGTGTATTGGTTGGGCAAAGAAAAGATGAGAACAAATTAAATAATACTTTGGACACCTTACAGAGAGGTAAACGATAATAATTCTCTCAGTTGCCCCACGTTTCTTGATTGTCCTAAAGAACATCTGAATGTTAAACACATTTGCTCAAGTATTTCCCTTTCCTGAACATTCTTCCCCCCCTGCTTTAATAATATTTCAGAAGACAATGTAGAGAAATGCTTATCGGTAGAAAATGCCTTTTTTTCCTTTTTAGTTCTTCTTTGGAAATGGCAGTCGGTGTTTCTGTAAAGTAAAGCTAAGAGGTGAACCAAGCAGCCTCAGAGTTAAATTACAGGTGCTTTGTGGCAACTCCATGCCTTGTGGCATAGTAAAGCTAGTGAATAGGCATTTCCTTCCCTCTTGTCAGTTTATCTTCCCTTGGCTTCTCCTTCTTACCCTTGAGACTGGGGTACTGAAACAGCTGGGCTCTTAATGGCTCAGCACCTAACTCTGCAGAATCAGTTCCAGAGAAATGAAGACAGTGACATAAGCTGCATCAAAATAATATAACCTTTGAATTACCTGCAAAGGCTTCCTCCATCTCCCCCTCTTGTAAATACTCTGTAAATTCTTCAAGGAAGTCTTTTGCTCCTAAGTAGCATTTTTTCAAAAGCATTGAACGAAAGCAGAAAAGATGCAAGTTTAACCTCCAAATTAACTTTGTCATTCATTTCCAGTTAATTCTGGAAGGTTCACTGTTTTTCTTTAAGAAAGCAGGGGACAGTAACTGGAATCTCACTGTGGAACATATCACTAACCCCCAGATACCTGAATATCCAACTTAACCACACCAAGTCCATTTAAGAGGGGAGTAAGGGGAACAAGTAAACAAAAGGATACAAAAAAAAGTTGATACTCTAGTCCTATATAAAGCAGGGTATGCAAAAACATACCTGTATTCTTAAAATATTTCGCCTCAACTGAAGATGTGTTAAACAGTTTAAAAGGAAAAGTGGACACTGCCACAGAAGAGAATAGAGAATTAGGAGGTCTAAGATAACAAGAACCCTGCAAACTTCAGCTTGACAACATTATCAACAGATTAAATTACTATTTTCTTTAAGTATAAGCTGAATTTCAAAGCAATGTAAAGCAGCAATTCTTACACCAGTTGAACATACGCATAACTATATCAGATAGTCAAAGCAGGAAACCTGGATAACTGATGTGTTAAAAAGGAAGTCTACTTATAGACTTACAGACTTAGTCTTAGCTAAGCAAGTTTCATCTTCATAGCACATTATAACATTAACTTACGACTGTAGGTCCCTGAAGCTGTGCTTTGCAATTACAGTTTGCATTATGGAAACTGAGGCACAAGAAGACGGAAAAACAGTTTCCATATTTCGACTGTGTCTGCAGAAGCTGAGGACAGCAGTACTCAGGACCAATCATCTTGTTTCCCAGACATTAATTAGGTGTTTCCCGGTCTGAAATTCCGAGTTCTGGTTACAAAGTGCAAACCACATTATTCCCCTGGGTAGTGCTGCTCTACAACCGAAGACACAGCTTTAAGTCCAAGAAACTACCAGACAATATTTGAAAGTGCTGGAACCCACAAAAATGCCAGGGAATGAAGCTACCCGCCTTCATACAGTCGATTTGCCGATGAGCAGCTTCCAAATGCTGACGTTGCAAATCAGGTACTAGTTTTCAGTTTAATAAAATTGCCATTTGAATCATATATGGGGAGGAATCGACTTGATCAAGAGGCTGAAGAAGGATATTTGGTTGCAATTACCCTTATTTTCAAACAATACTAAGTAAGAAGTCTTAAACTTTCATCTACAAAAGAACACCTCCACCCGCACCGACCAACCCTTGTGAGATTTAAGCATAAATTATATAATAGGAAATCAGGTTTAAAGCAAGATAAAGAGGTGGGATAATGAAAAGATCTTCCAGTTAAAAAAAGTGAAAATAGAAAAGTGGGTTACAAATGAGAAAATCCTACATAAACCAAAATGAAAACAAACCTTGCTTTTTAAAAAGAAAAAAAAAAAAAAAAATCAGTGTCTCTACAGCAGAATGGCAAATTCCCAGCCCCCAAATCAGCCCCGGTGCAATCTGGTAGCGCGGATCTCGGTAACAAAACAAAACTCCCCGAGGCAGAGGCCGCAGGGAACTATGGAAATTAACCTTAAGAGCTAACCTGAGGTGACTCCCAGAGCCCTCCTCAGGTCACCCCCCGGGCCCCTCTCCCGTCCCTCACTCCTCAGGTCCCAGCAGCCGCTCTTTCCCAGGGCACGCCTCCTTCGCCTGCGGCCGCAGGGTCTTGGGCGCTCGGCTGGCGCCGGACCTCAGCGGCGGACCCCGCTCCGCGCACCTCCCGGCGGCCGCTCCCCTCGGCCGACTCTGCCCTCCCCGTGCCCGTCCCACGGGCTCCCAGCTCCCTGGGCGCTCGCGCCCTTTGGACCCGTCACCCTCAGCTCGCTCTCCCGGGACTCACCAGAGGGATTCGGGAGAAGTTGGAGGCTGCGGAGCCGACACATCCCGACCAATGAGCGCGCGGGGCCGGGTGGCAGCGGCGGGCGGGCGAGCGGGCGGCCGGGGAGCCCCGCCGCGCGCGGCTAGGTCGGTGCATCCGCCCCTGGCGCCCGGAGCGGCGCGGGCTCCAGGCTGAGGCCGGACTTGGGGGAGGTTCCGGACCCGCCTCCGCCCGGGCCGGGGGGCGACGAGGAGCCCGGGCATCCCTCCGACCCGCACCCGCAGAGACTCACCGTGACCTCTCAGCAGATCCCGCACCAGGAGTTGGGCGGCCGCTCCAGACGGCGCTCGGTCCAGCTTCGCCACTTGCTCATCTCCGCGTCCCGCGCGTCTAGGCGCTTTCACCACCCCCCGCCCGCCTCGCCGCTGCAGGACCAGCGAGAGGAGCAGTTCCCTGGGTGACCTGAAGGCTTCCGCT